CTCTCACTCATGTAGGCTTTGCTGGGTATCCTGCAGCTAAACTAACCCTGCCCCCCACTCCCCAGCTGGCAAGGAGTATTGAGCTGTTACATGCTTCCAGCATGCGAGGTGTGAGCTTTGTTTGCAACAGCCACCCTGCACTGAAGTAACTCTTCAGTGCTTGTCTCTTTCTCCAGTTTGCCCCTTCCTCTGTGCATGCTTCCCTGTGGCCTGAGCGTTAACCCTTCATCCTTCATGGGGGGCGGGGTGGAGAGGGGCTCTGCTGCAAAGTCTGCTTGGTGGTGTCCCCATGAAAGCCCAAGTATGCAGGCAGATGAGTCCCTGGTATCCCCTGGGGGACACTGACTGGAGCACTATGACAGAAACTATGGACTGGCCAGCTCAAGGCATGAACAACAGCTTCTCTCCCTCAGTCCATGGCTTGCAAGCATGCCTGCTCTGTGTGAGCAGGAACAGGTGTGTACGACCACAGTTGACCAGTCCATGGCTGCTCCAAGGGCTGCATGCCATCCAGGCTGTTTTGTAGTTATGCAAATGTACAGCAGTGGCACAGGGACAGGAATCACTGGGGCAACTGCAGTCATGGGTTAGGACTGTAAACCAGGGGTCTGAGGTACCTGGACAATAAAGAGCTGTACTTGTGTGACAGCAGCCAAGGTAAAACCCTTGTGTTATGACGTCTGCCCTTCAGCCCCCACCTGCAGTGGGTGAGGTGGAACGGGAATGTTCCTCTCTTCGTCATGAACATGAACCTTTGGACATGTTCCCTTGCCTCAAAAGCAGGATCATGCATTCTCTATCAGGCAGCAGAACTAAAGTAGCCATGGGACTCTGATGCCAGAAGCCCTGCTTGGGCCCTGTCTGATTATTAGACTCTAATACTCTCTAGCATCCCTTTATGTATTTTCCACTCCCTCACCACAGCCCTGATGCTCAGAGCAGCAGGAGGCGGCAGGGAACAGGAGGGGGCCTTGAGAGGCCAGCAGGCTGCAGGACACCGGCCAGGTGCTGTCACTAGCACTGCAGATCAGGCAGCAATGGAAGTGACTGTAACATTGACAGTGACAAGGAAAGGGAATGAACTGAGAATATAAACCCCAAATCACAGCTTGGACTAAGGGACTGCAATTGGGTTAGGGAAGGGCAGCAAGTGGGGGCGCAAGGGAGCAGGTGCGTTTATTGTAACAGGTGCGTGTTTGCATGGGTTTCTTGATGTGGTTTAAGGGCACGATGGAAAGTTTATGATAGAAGATGTATATATATAACTATATATATGTAGTTATCTATCTGTCTGTCTGTCTATCTATCTAGATAGATACACACACACAGACGCACACACACACACACACACACACACGCAATTTTTTTTTAAAAAAATTTCAGGGAGAATGAAAAGAGCAACGACGCAACTGGACCTGGAGACAGCGAGGAAGACAGCATCAGAATAAGCTGCAGCGGAAGTGACAGCAACAAGGACAATAAATGAACTGAGAATGTAAACCCCAATGTGGGGCTTGGACTAAAGAACTATGATTGGGTTAGGGAAGGGCAGTGGGTTAGGGCGCAGGGGTGCAGGTGTGTTTATTGTAACAAGTATGCAGATTTCTTAATGTGGTTTAAGGGTGCAATGGAAAGTTTATGATAGAAGATGTGTATTATATATATATATATATATACACACACTTTAAAAAAAAAAAAAAGATCAGGCCCTACACTATGCGTAACACCTCTTGCTGGTCAAGGCCTCAGCTAACCAGTAGCTGTGGGCTGTTTCACACCCAATCCCCGAGAGAGTAACCCCCTAAAAGTATCTCTCCAGAAATCAGGGAATTCTGAAAATTCACACGTGAGCCCATTGAGAGCAGTCGGCTGATGCTAAGAGAAGCAGGACACAAAAACTCACAGAAAAGAGGCTGCAGGAGGGGGTGGCCTGGGAGCAGGAGTATGGGGGACAGGATGACACTAGCTTTCCTCCCCACCTCCTCCAAACTTCAACCACTAGAGAGAAGATGGTACCAGAATGACCTAGCAATAAACTCAACATCTGTTGATCTCTATTTGTATTTCCAAAGCACCTGTCATCATAACAGCTGGGCTGGGAATGACTCAGGTGCTGGGCCTGGGTGATGGCTGGGTGCTGTGCAGCCAAGCACCCTTAGCACTGCCTCCGCGCTATACCTGCCCACACTGCCTGGCCTCTCCCCTGGATTAACACAGGAAGCCGCTCTGTGCAGCTGAGGTCTGTGCATGCTCCAGCCCTACTTGGTGCTGGAGGTTGCCACCTCAGCCTCCCAGCCAGCCAGCCTTTGAGTGAGCTCTGCTTTTTCTGCAAGGAGCCAGCCTGGGGCATCAAATGGCTGAGCCAGGTCCAGCCAAAACCCCCAAATAGGCCTGGGAAAACTGGTGAGTTTAGCCACTGGTGGTCTCCATCTCCAGCACATTTGGTAAGTGCCTTACTGCAAGCAACAGGCTTTGTATTTGCAGGTCAGGCTAGAGCTAATTGGACACAGTTGGCTTTGCTCTTCCTGTGGCCTGGGGGCTGCCTGATGTGAGGTGCTGTAGCTGAAGGAGAGGCTTGTGGCCACAAACACAGTGCTGAGTGCCCATAACACCATTCCTATCAACCATTTGGCTTCTTCTCTTCCTTGTCCATTTGCTTAGATTATGGGGGCTTCCTGGCTCTTCCTAGGACAATATAATGTGTACGTGGGACACTGATTACCATGAGGGTTATTAATAACCCTGTCCTGCTGCCCATCATGGAAAGCAGCTTAGAGCTTGGTAATCTGCTGGGTATAGCTCCCCAGGTTTAATTGACCTGCTTCCCTCACCCCTGATGACATTATACCTGTTCCTTGCTATAGGTCCGGCCTAGGCACCCACCTCCCCAGCAGGCTGGGCAGGGGTCTCAGTGCATCCCACCCTGAACTTGGAGGCTGCTCAGAGGGAAGTTCTCCCTGTCCCTTCAGGATGGCTGTCTTAAATACTGTAATCACTGAGGTGAGTGTTAAACCCTGAGGCACATGGGGAATGCATGTCTTTTTGGGCCTTGGGCTGTCTGCCCACAGGGGAATAATGCCACCCATAGATGTGGGCATGACTCCATGGAGCTAAGGGCCCTGGTGCCAGCAAGGAATGTAGTCTGGCTTCTGGCTGGCATCCTAGACCAAAAGTGGAGGCCTGGGGGTGCATGGCCCCCTTATGAGCCAATGTTCCTGCCATGCTGCAACCAAGTGGGCATGGGCATCTCTGCGCATGTTTGAGCAGCCCTGTCTCTCCAGTAGGCAGGCTGAGCGATTTACATAACAACAGCTCAGACAAAAGTGGCTGTGTTATCACCAGCTCCAAGAGCCCCATGAACAAACCCTCATCAGCACTGGCTGCAACAGGGAGCCATATTTCCATCAGAAGTTAATGTGCAGCCTTGCCCCCTTTGTTGCCAGCATAATGGAGAGCAGGCACTTGCTTCCCTGCTGTGATAAAGCTGTCATAGCAGCAGAAAGCGCTGGTGTTACAAATGAGCGCCAGGCTGACAGCAGCCTCCGCAGGCTGCATCCCTGAGGTGTCCTGTGGAAGTGATATGGGCTGCCCCACTCTGCTAGCACTGCAGAGGCATGGGCAGGAAAGCAACTTTGTTCTCCCCAGAAAACCCACCCCCTAAATAAAGCTACTCATTGACAAGGCCCAGGGCTGGGTCCAGCAAGTGATTAGGTTTGGTTCAGCAAGTAATTTGAAAAGTCTGCGTAACACTTGAAAATTAAAACAGCAAAGAAAACCAAGTGGGCAGGATGGTAATGAACTGATGCCAATCATGCACTGGGCCTATCTCCTTTCTTGAACCCCCATCTAGAGGATGCAACTTTGGGAGTGTTTTATACCCAATTTGTAAAAGCACGACTTTGGTGGCAGGTGCCAGGAGGCAAACAACCAGCTCCTACAGCTAGAACCTCCTGCGTTATGGTGCACAGACAACAAATTTCTAGGGGCCAAACAATAGCTAACAATCTCAAGTCAATATTGACAGGTGCAAATTGGTTCTGCCTTCCCATTGGCCATTCACAACCATGTCACAGAATCATAGAATGAAGAACCTGCAAGATCATCAAGTCCAGTCCCCTGCCAGCGGCAGGAAGTTATTGGGCTCAAACGAGCTCAACAAGGTACTTATCCAGCCTCATCTTGAACACATCCAAGGATGGTGACTGCACCACCTCTGCTGGCAGTGTGTTCCAGATTCTGGTAACCCTTACAGAAAAAAAAGTTTTTTCTTATATTCAGCCTAAATTTTCCCCCAGTTAGCTTGTGCCCATTGGCCCTCATCCTCCCTTGAGGTGCCTTCCTGAAGAATTGCTCCCCTAGATCTTGATGCTCACCCCTAATGTACTTATAGGTGGCTATCAAGTCACCTCTCAGTCTTCTCTTACTCAGACTGAATAGTCCTGGTTCCCAGAGTCTCTCCTCATAGGGCCTATCCTCCAGGCCCCTAATCATATGGGTGGCCCTCCTTTGTTAGCTAGAGTTTCCCACATGCTTCAGCAACAAGGCCCCTGCTTCAACAAAGCCACAGCTAAGGCCTATGAGATGAGATTCTCAAAGCAAGTATTAAGAACCCTCCGCTATGTGGGAAAGCCCCTGGCATGCTTTCCTTGCACTCAAACAGCAGCAGGAAGCAGGTAATGTGCAAAAAGGGGAGTCTACTCAGAACACTTGCAGCTTTCTAAGAAACTGCAGCCATTGCTCAGCAAATCAGCAATGCTACAAGGCAAGAGGGCAAAAGTACAAAACTGTGAGAGGCTTTTAGCCATGTGGAAACTGCAGCTTGTAGTCTGGGGCCACCTCTGTTATGCATAAACTGAAGACCAGAATGACCAAGTTCCCCCTAGCTATTCTATCCTGGGCAACAAACACAAAAGAACAAAGAATGAATATTGTACTCCCCCCACTCCCAGCCCCTGCAAACACACACACACACATACACACAAGAAGGGAATTCCTCTTACCTTGGAGAGTGTCCCAGGAGAAGTCGCAGTGAAGGGAAGTCTCCTTTGGCTGCAGCGTAGTGAACAGGCAAGGCTCCTGTGTCTGTGGCTGCCAGGGTGTCGCTGCCTCCAAAGCGCAGCAGCCAGTCTATTACTTCGTGGTGACCAAAGCGGGCTGCGAGGTGCAGGACAGTGGCACCAGAACTGTCTGTGTCCTGCAAGTAGTGAACAGGAGGCAGTTAGGGCCCCATCCTGCTGAAGGGACACAGCACACGTGGGCACATGCAGCTGGCCCACACCCTTTTGGGATGTGTGGGGGCAGGGTACTGGAGGCAGTAAGACTGGGCTGGTGCTGCCTTTAAACTGTGGATGGACAAAGGCTCTCAGCAGCCCACATGCAAGTGGGAAGGGAAGCCTCAGGGAAGATACCCCATAGAACAGGGAGGAGGAGGGAAGCATGTAGAGATGCTATAGCAGCACAGGGCAAAGCAGCCAGAAGCTGGTGCAGAGGCAGCAAAGGGAAAGATCCCACTCACTGTCGTGAGGCCCTCTGGGCCCACAGCCCTGACCCACTGCATGGGAAATAATGACGGAGGCTCAGCCCTGCTTCAGCCCCTCTGCATCACTATGGCTACAGTGCTGGGTGGGTGGGGCTCCTGCCAGTTCCTCCAGCACAGGGATGTGCTCGAGGGGGAAGTTGCCCTGTGGCTTTGTGCCACCACCTCAGCCACAAGCACAGAGGGTGTGACCAGGACCTAGCTGTGGAGCATTCCACTGGGAGGGCCGAGCTGTTGTGTGTGTGGAAGCATGCCCCTGTGAAAGGGAAGTCACTCATCAACCAAAAGCCCATGGAAAGCCTTGCTCTTTTGCTCTGTAAGGGAACACATGTTCCCCCATTGACACTTGCTGCCTATCCCAGGAACCTATGCCATCTAAGATGAGCTGGATGGGGGCTGGGCCAGTCCTCTCTGTAACATACTTCCTGCATCATGGCTGGGCAATGACTTGTTCTTCCCAGGCTCAGACAGGCCGATTAGCGGGTATGGGATCCCACTGCCCCGTTGGTCAAGCACAGAGGAAGCTGGCTTTTCACTGTGTGGCCAGAATGGTGGGACCACATGAGGCCAGGCCTTCAGCCCTGAGCCACATGGATCCTACACACTCATCTTATTCAGCTGTGCTCAAGGCAAAATGAAACAGCTAGTGGAGCTTGCCCAAGGTGGCTCCTAGCAGTTCTGGGCCTGCCTTCTCTGCTCCAGCATCTCCCCTTCCTCCCTCTTTGCAAGCCACACAAATATCACATGGTTCCACCTCTCAGTTACACCTGGAGGCTGCTTATCCCTAACGCACCAGTGTGGGTTGCATAAGCTATGAACAGTCCCATTCCCACTCCCAAAGCAGGGGCATGGAGGCCGGACACCAGTTATGCTGTTGCTTGGCATCTCCAGAAGTGTGTTAAGAAGTGCAAGGGTAATCTTGTCTGGCTGGCTTTGCATTCAGCAAAGCTGAGTGATGTCTGGGCCATGCAAAAATAACTTGTTCAGCCATCTTCCACAGCCCAGAGGCAAGCATTTAATTTGACCACTGAACTTGGACCTCGTGACCAAGCAGAGCTGCAACAGACCTTTGCCAAGCCCCCAGCCTTAGCAACCACACACCTGGTACTGTTGGGACAGAGCTCCAGAGGGGACCCTACCTTCATGTGATTTTATTTTTGTGTACACTGGGGCCAAACCCAAGGTCCTGACTCAGACAAATATCCACTGAAGCCAGTAGCATGTACACGCACAAGATATGGAATGAAAGCTGAATTGGAGCCAGTCAGATCCTATGCTACCCGGTACTGCAAGCTGCACAGGGGCCTGGCCAGGCTGGATAGCATCTTGGGGCAAGCTGGGTAGTGTCTTGGGACCCAACCCATTGCACATGCCACCTGAGCCAAGGCTGGGGCCAAGACACCCCTTGTAAACACTGCTGTAGCCTCTTGTGCTCCTTCCCCTGCCCCCAGGGACACTGTTTCAGGTGCTGGCTGGAGTCCCTGCTCTGATGCCACCTCCCTCACTCACTCACACCCACCTCCCCAACC